ATGCGCTGTGCAGACGGTTTAAGGCTGCGAGGCAAAGAGGTATATATACCAAATAGTCTGAGGACTGAAATCTGCCAGTTGGCTCATGACCATCCAAGTGCAGGACACTTCGGTCAAGCCAAAACCCTCGACTTAGTTCAGAGGTATTATTGGTGGCCAGGAATGCGACGAGAAATCCAACTACATGTTGATACTTGCCTGGTTTGTCAACAGGCTAAGTATTCTCATCAAAAGACCCCAAGCTTATTACAGTCTCTCGGCATTCCTGAGGAGCCATGGACTGAATTGTCCATGGACTTCATTACTCAACTACCAAAAACTAAGGGAGGTTATGATGCTATCGTCATGCTCATCGATAGACTGACCAAAATTGTCCGCCTCGCAGCCACGACCACTGAGCTCTCCGCAGAAGGAGCAGCTGACCTGTTGGTGCAAAATGTGATAAGGCACCACGGTCTCCCCTCTACTATAGTGTCCGACAGAGATGTTCGGTTCACTTCCAAGTTTTACCGGTACCCGGCAGAGAGGTGGAGAAACAGTTCAACATGAGCACAACGTACCATCCACAAATGGATGGCCAGACCAAAGTCATGAATCGGATTCTGGAGGATTACTTATGCAGTTGTGCGCGTTGTGACCAAAACGTTGGGATGAACTGTTAGCCATGGCCGAGTTTGCAATGAACAACTCGAAAAACAGTTCCACCCAAGATACCCCATTCTATTGGAACTACGGTCGACACCCAAAGAGTCCCTTAGCTCTTGGGGTGCAAATTCGGAAAGCCTTTGAAAGGTTATGACAATCCGAATGCCGCGGCTTAGCAGTGGCCATTGATAGGGCACAACAACCTTATTTGAGGCATATTGATACACCCCTCGTGGAGGGATTACCAGCAGTGACACGATTTGATCACCGTGTCCAATCAGCGCTGAAAGAGGCCAGGGCGTGCTTAGAAAGCACGAGATAGGCAGTCAAAGCATGTTGACCGCCATAGGAGGGATGTGTCTTTTAATAAAGGAGATGACGTCCTCCTTTCGACACAGCATATCACCCTCAAACACTTTGGAACTCGGAAGTTATTACCGAGGTGGATTGGGCCCTTCACCATCCTCGACCGGATAGGTTCTGTTGCATATCGACTGGAACTTCCGGAAGGCATGCATAAGATACATCCAATGTTTCATATATCAAAGATTAAGCCGTATAAAGCTAGTGGCAGAGTGCAGCCACCCCCAGTTTCTATCGAAATCGAAGGAGAACTGGAATATGAAGTTGAACGCATCCTGGATAAGAGGATTAAAAAGCGTGGCTGGCGACAAGACTCCGTAGAGTACCTTGTCAAATGGTTGGGTTATGGCCATGAACATAACAGCTGGGAATCAGCAAAAGCAGTTCAAAATGCACAGGAATTGGTTCAAGCATTTGAGAATGGAAGAACTCCTATTGCGCATGTGTCAACTGATCGCAGTGCGAAAAGTACACACTGAAATGCGCTTGTGTGTGACTGTGCATTTGACAGGCCATGCTGAAGAGCTTGTAGGTACCTTGGGTAAACATTCAATTTTTGCGTATTTGGATAATAGCTCAACTGAGAATTACATTTACCAAAAGATGGTACATCAGCTCGGACTTGCATTGATTGGAGAATTTGTGCGGTTAGAAATAGCAGACAAGACAACACGTTATATATTGGGAAGACAAATCTATGAATGTGTTCTGGTTCTATTGTGACCAAATTTTTAGTTGACGTTTTCCTAGTTTAAATCATGATATTCTCTTAGGTTAACCATGGTTAGTAAAGGAAGACCCACGCATCCAATTTAGGGATGGAAAGGCAGAATTACAGAGGGGAAATACATTTCATTACCTACCAACTCATGTGAATTTGAGTATCCCTATGCCTAAGATTGTGTGGCAGCAAGTCTTAGATAGGATTGAAGAAACTATTTGTTGGCGCGGTCCCCCTTTGGCCATGTCCAAGTACCTTGGTCTGTGTGCTAGGGCTTCTTCAGTAGAAGCGTGGTCGTCCTCGGCCGGATGGCTTGTCCCAGGCTCTCTCTGGCCTATGGGTGATGGCCGCTCTGCGCAGTCCCATCCAAGGCGCACGGCTGTTGTGCTCGAAGAAGCAAGGAGGCTCCAGAACAATCGATCACTACTACATAGTATGGCTGTGCACGCTCTTACATCCTGCGCCACACAATTCCATTATAGTCCACTAAACTCATTAATCCCATTATCTCCGGCGGCCGAGGGCTCCGCCCCTTGACCCCCCTTTAGGGACCTCCGCTCGGCCGAGCTCAGCCCCCTGCGGAACCTCGCAAGACATAGTCCCATGAGTAGTTCGCCTAACAATTCACATAATATTATCACACTATTGAAGAACAACCTCCATGTGTGATGATGATTAAATGACTTGGCGATGATACCAAGGCAGCAGTGGAGACTATTTCTGAAAAACATGAAGGCTCACATATGGATAAACTCAAGAGGCAGAAGTTGACAGAAGAATTAATAGAAGTTCTCAATGAATGTTGAGATGTTTTTGCCAAGAATCTGCCAGCAGGAGTACTTCCGGTATGTAAGGGTCATGAATTTCGTACTAAACTTGAGGAAGAAGCTAAACCTATGAATAAACATTTGTACAAGCTGAGTCCACTTGAGATTGAGGAAGTGAAGCGTCAATTAGACTATTTGTTGAGCATGAGCTTTGCAAAGCCATCTGAAAATCATTGGGGCGCATCGATTTTATTTGCAGCAAAGAAGGATGGAGAACCCCGCATGTGTCTAGACTACAGGTGGTTGAATAAATTGACTAGGAAAAACAAATATCCATTACCATTGCCTGATGAACTAATGGACAGTTTGCATGGTGCAAAAATATTTGTGAAGATCTACTTGAGAAGTGGTTACTGGCAAATGCCTATCTAACCAGAGGACACAAGCAAAACCGCTTTCAAATATCGATATAGGCATTATGAGTACCTTGTTTGTCCTCGCTTATTGGCGTGGGGGACGCCCTACCCAAGATACGGCAAAAACACTCCAACTAGATTATATGATATTATAAGATATGAGAGTAGGTCGGGGTGGTCCCGCCTAGGTCCCCGTAAGGACCTAGGTGCCCAGCGAGGTGGGTCCGTGGCTCAAAGAGGGCAAGAGCCCCACACCCACAATCTTTGCGTATCATTTGGTTTTAGAGCCATCTGAGGGTGGCCCGCTCACTTTGTCTGCGTGCGGAGGTTGGGACAATGCCACGCTACTCTATCCCCGGCCTCCTCTTCCACGGAGGCCAAGGAGTCGGATGAAGCAACCCATGAGAGACAGACCATTAAAACGGTTGAATATGCACCCCGAGATGGGGAACCGGTGGCAGGAGCCGGTATAGGGGAAGCAGCCCGAGAGGGCGAGGTTATGAATGAAGCAGTCCGAGAGGACATATCCAGGACATCCACAAGCCATGCGCAGGTGGATAAACAAGACCAACCCATGGTTGAGGCCGTGGAAGCTTCTACTGAAGTGGCGGCAGACCCTGAAGTAGTAACCGCTCTTCTTCAAGCCCCAGGAGTAATGGCCCTCCTGGAAAAGATGGCAGTGTCGGCCACCGCCAAGGCAAAGGAAACCCGCAATCGGGAAGTAGTGGCCCGGATCGCGAGGTTGGAGATCGCCACGGCCTCTGCACAAAAAGAGGCAAAGCGGCACGAAGTTGCCTTAAAAAAGGCAAAAGAGCAAAGCCGTGAGACCGCTATAACTCGAGCCTCGGCGGAAGAGCAGGTGGTCGCATTGAGCGACCGTCTGCTAAAGCAAAAGGAGCGGGCGCGCGAGGCGGAGGAAAAGATCGCGCAGTAGCCCAAGCAGCTCGAGAGGGCACCCAGTCCAACTGGGCCAAAAATGCCAATTTGCACATTGCAATGCCACCACGTTACAAACCCAATCACAGAACCCATCAACCTTCCCAGCCGCCATCAGCCCGGGAAAACGCTGCGTGTCAAGCCCATCGTCGTGGCGTGGCGCCCCAGCGAGTCGAGACCCATGTCAATCCTTGTTCTTTGCATTGCAGAGGCAAACACACCTCGAGCATTCCAGCGAACCCCTGCTAGCCCCAATCGCCAGTCACCAACACTTGCCACCACCTGCCTAGTGCAGGTCCAAGTCAAGGCCGCCAGCTCCCGTGAAGAGGCTAACAACATCCCGCGATAGCATTGCCATTTTTGCCCATTTCTGGGCATTTCACCACCTATTTGTCAAAAAAATTCTTTGTCTACTCTTTGGGATCAGGGGTCCAATCCGCATTGGTGCACATGACCCATTATTAATACCCCCCGCTCATTTGGGGGTTCCAATACACACCTACTAATACCGGGTAAATACGGTGTCCAGTAAGGAATAAGAAGGGCCCAAACAGAGGAAGCAATGAGCAAGACAACGCGCAAGAGCAATCGCCTCTCCCACCAACAACACTGCTAAGTTTCACAAAGAATCTGCCATGCTAGCTGTTCTAAGATGATTTCTCTCATAGCCTCCTATAATATAAAGTCTTCTTAGACCTACGATCGATGGGCAGCTGTCCTGGCCATGGCAGCAGAAAGTAGGCGCTCCAGCGGAAATGCATGGGCTGCCGCTCTGCGAAATCACAATAGGCGACCATCGTTTGCCCATTTCCCCCCCCTTCCATGCCACTGCGCCACAAACAATAGCCTTAAGAGTGATGACGGTGTCTCGATCGCATCACAAAAATGCTGTTACGAAGGCTCAAGCTCAGATCTGGGGCCATTGGCCCTGTGTTTCTGATTCGAATGGCTAGTTCTCTGGACATGGAGCTGGAGGACAAGATATGATTCTTGTATGCAACAGTGATGTATGGGGCCAGGTGGGGCCATGTGCTCCTTTCATTTCGTTTTCCAAATGGCATGTCATTGTATGCACTGCCCATGGACCTACAAGGCAGTTCTGCTGCCATCTACTGTGCACAAGGCATGGATGCTGGCAAACCCCACCTCCCCTCAACTGCCTTCTTGTGCAGTGCAATTGTCGCAACACCGGGCTTCAAATGTTGTCAATTCATCTCCCAGATCGCATATCACTTGGCTACTGTTGAGTATCTGTGCGGCAGGGCTGATGGCCGTTGCTGCCTGCAGCTGTTCCTCCTCAAACCTGCATGTTGATAGTGGTGGCACAGCATACTCGTATTCGCTGTCGATTCTGATGACCGTGCCATTCTGCAGCACAACCAAAGATGATAGAATGAGGCAGTTCATGGCAGACATGTTCCAAAGCAGGTAAACACAATCCAGCAGCACTTTTTTATGCTGACAGTCACGTCACTTTTACTACACTCTGTTACTTCTTTAGAGTAATAGTGGATTACTCCAGCAGTCTTGCAGTGATGCAAGTGTCATTCTTACCACAACATGAGCCAGTCCAGACGTCAACAAGGGCCTTCAACCCGCACATTCATGATATAAAATTATCTGCACTCAACACGGGGCCCAAATGATTCAACAGTGCGTAAGAATGAAAACCGCGCGAAAGTAGCGTGTTACCAGTGTGCAGGTAAAATTGTTGAAAGAATGGCACAGAAACCATAAATAAATGCAGTTGGACGATTTTTGCTGTAAACACAGTGTGCATGACTAACAAATGGAAGTGGGCTTAGCATAGAAAGTGCAGGGTAAACATGTGAATGCACAAAACGAACCCAGCCTTCCCAAGCTCAGTTACTCTCTAAACCCCTTGCAGCAGCAAAACTGGGTGCCGACCACTTGCATAGAAAACAAGAGAAGTCCCTTGACATTTTGTGGATGCAGAACATCGAATCCAAGTCCCCACCTTGCACACAGCCGGCGCTTGCTCCTCGGTGAACTCACAAATAAAGTGCGTGCGCATCTCACAAGCTGTTGGGTGCACATTGTGCCTCACGCCCCGCCGATCGATGGTGGCACACATCTGCCTTGGGTTTGTCAGCGACACACCCTCCGTCAGCACCCAGATCTCTGACCTCCTGTCCACAGTTTCGTTGCTGCTGCGCCACATCCATTCCATCGATTCTCTGTCCCGTGTGAGTCCAATCCAGGACCCCGCATTGGTGGCCATCGCTGCCAGCAGGTCTTCCTCGCTGGGCTCATCGATTTCCGCCAAGATGCCGCCTTGCCCCTTGCAGAACTGCTCGGCTTCGGCGAAGGACACCGGGTCTGTCTGGGGTGCGGTGTAAAAGTCGCCTGTGGTCTCGAAGAAGTAGCAGTCGGCCGGCTTCAGTCTCTCAGGGCACTGGGCTGCTTCTCCCCTCAGCAGCTGCAGCGACAGAAAGACCTCGGCGTCTGGAATTTGGGTTCCGAATCTGTCTGAACGATTGCTTTTCTCACGAAACGTTCCTCTAGATGCAAAGGCATTTACAACAAGGAAGTAGGCCATTCCCCGACTAGTGGTTTCCTATTGAGTGCTATTGCTGTTGTCCACTATTTTGTCGTTCATTCATTCATCCATTCATTCATTCATTTATTCATTTATTCATTACTCATTTGATTGTCTATTTACTATTCATTGTCTATTTGTTTATTTAGTTGTTCATTAATCACCATAATCGTTTTTATTAACATTATTGTAATTAGTATTACCAACGTTACCGCTGTTGTCATTGTCAATATTTTGCTGTTCGTGTGTTTTGCTACTCTTCCTTTCCCCTGTACATTCCACAGACTCGGGAGCAGTCTGATAACGCACGAACATAGATGCACAACAGAATGTCGACTCAGTCGGAATACATTTCTAATAACTGCCATGAACAGAGGCCTTGCGCCTCGCAGGTGGTGACGGGCGCAGAAATGCCCAATGACCGTGTGTTCAAATACCCCAGAGCCTTGTTCCCCACAACATTCGGCATCATCACTTGAAAGGGGCGGCACAATTCGATGTTATGCCCATATTTTCGCTGCATCGCATTGCAGGCTGTGTTTCTGAACCTGCTCAGTGCAATTCACAAGACATCGAATTTGCGCAACACAGCGTACATTCGGCAAGAGTCCCAGCCAGCTCGCAAATGCCAGGTTGTCTGTCCAGTTGCATCAACCCGGACGCACACCCCTGGCCTATCAATATTGACTGCATTAATGCGATGGCAAGGGAACCAGTTCAACACTTTGAAACCTGGGGTAGAATGCTGCGGCAAGCTGGCGTTATATTCAAGTTACACCGTCATGTTCATCTTGCTTTTGCAGCGAGTGCTGGGTACTATGTGACAACCGTACAATACCCAGCACTCACTACCAAAGATGAAAATAACACCAAGCGATTGCTCATCACTATCCAGTCTGTCTGAAATAGCAATACAAGGTGAGCGCAATAAGACAGGTAGACAATCGCTGAGAAAAGTTCCCAATAGAAGACGCCAAATCTACCTGCAAGCCACAGCCGGTGAAATTCGACTCGATGCACGAGAAGCCACGCTGTATGAACCTCCGGATGACCGTGAGGAACTCTGGAGCCACTTTGTTGATGTCCTCCAGCCTCACATCGTGACCAACAACGCCTACCAGAGAGCCGTTCTCCCCAGAAGCCGTCTTGGGGCTGAAGATGGGCTTGGCCGCCGTGATCACTTTCCCCAAACCAAATTCGTCCTCGTAGGTGCCGGTCCAGATCACGCCCGCGTCACCCCTGCCGGAGGCCAGGTATGCTGTGTAGGCGTTCAGGTCGCGGAGGGGGTCATCCTCGGCTGTGGCAGTTCAAACTTTGCTGAGTGCACTCGGCAAATTTGGGACAGAGTGCTGCACAGTTGGGGAAGCCTCCTGCCGCAGTGTCCATGTGTTTGCAAGCATGAGCTCAGCAATGGCGGTGAGAAGGGCGCATGGAATGCGGTTTTGATCACGGTTTGGCCTGCTGGAAGCCATAGCAAGCTACTGATGGGCAACTGCAGCAATTATATGCATGCGCAAAATGTCACTACGTAGAACTGTTGAAAATTCCCGAAATTGTAGACAGAAAGCAATTCTTTGAATGAGCAATATGCCTTTCAGTGCAACACTGTGGCTTGATTAGTTGCTGTTTGTAGTGGGAGAGAAATGCACTGGTGATAAAACTTGACAACCAATATTCGAATTGTGAAATGCAGATTACATGTATTCAAAAGGAACTGACGACACTGGGTGGCCAGATTAGTGGCAGGTTTGGAGAACACGCAATCAGTGGCAACACTGTTATTGGGCATGACAGGATCGTATCAAATGAATGGGAAAGTCAGCAAGCGATGGCTGCTAAGTTGCTCAAACGGCTGTCCTGTGTTGTAAGTGAATGTCCAATTATCCAATCGCCTCAACACTTGGATGTGCTTACCAGAAACAATGGATGTGGTGGCCAGAAACCTGGCCAACAGAGCATTGGAGGTGTGCCCAACTTAACTCAAGCTTGCTCTGAGGAGCAGTGCAATGGATGCAACAGGCAATGGGCAAGTTATAAAGACAATCATCCCAACAGTGAGCACACAATTCACAACACTGGTCCTAAACTCACAAATATAACATCATTCTGTTGGCAGCAGCTTATCCAAGTCGCACTCACGGAGTATTCTGGCCCACACGCCCTCATTGGCGCACGCCATTTCCTTGGGGATCTCATCGTCCGCCTCGAAGCCAAAGGAGATGGGGAATATGTGCGCCCTCTGGCTGCCCAGGGCTTCCAGCTCCTGCTGCTTGGTCTCTAAGAGGTCAAGCAGGGAATCAACGGCTGTCACATTATCTGGGGGTGTGAACTTACAAGGCTGGTCACTGAGGGTGCAGTCTTCGCCATCTGTCATGAATAAGATGATCTGCCCACGCATACACAAAGCGATCAACACTGCCATAAAGGTGAATGAGTGGGAATAACCAGCAACCACAGCAAGATCACAAGCCATCGATGCAGGCTCTTGGTCATATCCCAGATTAATCCTGTGACTGAGATGTTGCTGACAGTTCCTAGGCATGGAGATGCTATTGGGACGAAATTCCGCTGACTACAGTATGGAGATGCAGCCCAGATCTTGAGATGTTACACTGGCAAGTCGCTGCTCTGGAAGTTGGGGGCAGATTAGCAGACTCAAGAACAGTACGCCAGAGGCATGCCTGCCACTCAGTGTCTCCCCAACTGGCACGACAGCACTTGCTACCAGCAAGTCGCTGCCATAGCAGTTTTGGGCACACTCAGTGGCATGCTTGCCTCTGGCGGATTTCCTTGACTGAGCTAACATCCAACACAGTGTATGGGAGAGCCCACATTGACAGATTTGCTGCTGGATCATTGGGGCCCATGTATGAGCCATCTCAAGACGATGACGGGCTACACATGAAAGGCCCTATGTAGCTGATTGCACCATTCATGCCAAGCAGTGGCCCACCGCAAAGACAACACCTGAGAGCTTATGTTACTTTCGCCCTGCCAACTGTACTGTAGTTGGCACAATTTCCCCTAACAGCCAGTGGGTGGAGCCATTTCTCCTTTCCTTGATATGTGCAGCCAAGCAGATATTTTCTCACCTTTTGGCAGTTCGAGCTTGCAAATTCCTCCCCAGAGAGACTGCGATTCGTTGCTGTAATCAGGTGGTCGAACGCCACTTCCAATGCAGGCCGAAAATCGGTGCCCCCTGAGGGCTCAATGCCTTCCACCACATCCTTCAAAAGGACAATGTTGTCAGGGGTCGCGTGCAGCAGCTCTGTTACCAAGCTCTTGACTTCGCTGTTGAATTCCACCATGTTAATGTAGTCGTTGATGCTGAACGTGTCCAATAAACTCAAGATGGCTACCTTGACGATGTCCCAACGTGTCCTTGTGTCGCCGCCCCCAAACAGAAAGTTGTCACGCTCTCGCATGCTGCCTACATGAAATGCAGTGAAGAGATACCAGTCCAACGTCATCAGATGCCATTGAATGCCACTGATATTTACATATCATACATATTGGAGGTGTACTGTTGGTACACTGTAGATGTAACATAAGTGTGCTGTGGGTGTGTTGCTGGTACACAGCAGGTGCACAGTGTCTGCACGAAGCAAAACTGATTGGACCCCTGGGGATGAACTATCCCTCAGTGCATCACTTGCGCATCGAAATACAGGTGACACCCTGTGTATCTGTTACAACATGTTTATGCTGCAATGGCAACAAATGTCCATTGGTGCTCCATCAGAGCGAGAGCACCTGCTCTGACCTGAACAAATGTAGTAGGGCCCTTTGTGTGATTGGACCACACAAGTCTGCACCAAGCAAGGCTGAAGACACAAGACAGAACCCATGTGACACAGTCCCAATAGTGCAACATGCAAAGACCAGTGTGAGATGCTTGCCAGGTCACATGCTGCATGTGTTCAGGAAGGCATGCCATTCATGCAGCTGTCCTGCATGACTCAATTTGGGAGGTCAAGATGCTAGCGGGTGCTCAATGGCAACACAGCTGTAATTTCCACAATAACTAGGGAAACCTGTGCCACAAGTATTGAATGTCAGGAATTCGAATCCACTTCATGCGCCACAGGAATTTTGGAAAGGGCCCTTGGCAAATCCTAAACAAAGTCCAACAGGAAACATTTTCCTTGCGCAACTGTATCGATCTGGTGCAGTGAAAATCGTGCAAATGCACTCTGCCCTCTGTCCATTCTGTTGGGATTCACCCTTCTTCAACACAAAGATATCAAAAATATGGCCAGGAATTGGATACCCAGCAATTTCCTCATCAGTTGGCATTGTGGTGGCAAGAGCTGCGATCCATTGAGCCCCTTCATCTGCAGCCAATGGCGGCAAAGAGGCCACATGAGACACAGTTAGAAATCAATGGCAAACCACCATCCAGCCCACCTGATGTGTCGATCACCAGGACAACATCCTTTGGTCCACTGGTAGCTGCAACATACCATGGCCGAAAGCGCTGCAGACCAGCCACAAAAATAATAAGCAAGCACATGTGTCCAGTTGCTGGGGATACAGCATATAGCACATCTAATGAACAGAGATGCTGAGATTGTTTAAACAGTGAGTATTCGTAAATCTTGTACCACCTGCTAAATAAAAAAAATTGACAACTGTGTTCTTCTGCTGGAATGACAAATTTCAAGTGCTCAGACAACAGCAACAGGCAGCCGAGATACAAGGACAACAGCATGCTCAACCCAAGGATTCAGGAGCCAACAACCGAGGAACATTGTCTCACTGGATCGTATTTGCGGCAGCCTCGAAGATTTGCATCAGCAAGATCTGGGTCGACATCTGCTCCGCGTTCATGTGCATGGCCTGGCCAAGTCCTGTGCAACGACCCCAGTATAACTCAAGCCCAACGTACTTTTGAAGACAACTTTACGTCAAGCATTCCTGAGTGCATGATTTCTCGGTATGTACTGTGTGTTGTTCCTGTCATACTCAGAGATTGCAGCATCAGCTTCAGTCACCAGAGACCTTGTAAACTTCAAGGTCTGGAGGAGCATGCGTTCATTGTCAGATATGTTTTCTGCACAATGAAAACAAAACGTCGGATATTTTGACAGCACCCTGACAGTGTAATAATGTCCCCAATCTGGATTGCGCACCTCATGACTCCATCGGTTGAGGCAACATAGGTCCATGCCCTGACACCAAAGCTATCCTTAGCACCAGCGAACGTTTCATCAATACCCTGAAAGCCAACCACAGCTGTTGTGCATCAACACCAAATGTGTACAGACCAGAAAAGAATATCTGTTCAAAAGATCACATATACTTCCTTCTTGCCATATTGATTGTCGTCTACGATTTGAGACGTTACTTCTCCATCGTGCCTGCATCAATTTTAAATGAAATTTACCCCAAAGTTGTGCTTGTGTGGTTGGAGTATACTATGAAAATTTCAAGTCAATCCATTAGTTTTTGAGGATTTGACCGTACTTTGCAGCAAGGTTCCTCTGGCCTGAAAAGAGTCGTTTTTTGACGTTGCGCCAAAAAACAGCTGTTTTTGGCTGTTTTGAGGAGCAAGCCTTCGCGGCAGTGAAACAAACCCGTCCTCACAAAACTATTCATGTCGTTGAGAGCGGCGGTCACTAGGGTGCTTACAAAGAGTATGGAGATAGAAAACGTATTTCGAATGCCTTGATCGTCGAACTCGCCGTGGCTTGCAGCATCATTCTAGGCTTGATCTGGTGGATCGGAGTGACGTCCAGGACCCAAAATTTTTTGGCCAGAGCTTTTCGAGCTCCTTCGCCGCCATCAAGGCAACTGAGGGAGGTCTCCCAATCCCTTTAACAAGGAGCCACAGATGGTGATGGTTATCACCCCGATTAGCATGAACAATTAGTGTATTGGGCATTGCCACAAGAATGGCGATTTGTCCTTGTTTCAGAACTTCAAAAGATTGGGTGCATGGAGGATGGCCACAAAGGTGAATGCAGGTCTTTTAGTGTGATGGATACTTGCTAGGTTCCAATGGATTGTGTACCACACACAAGCATCGGCCATTGTGTTCACAAACAGTGGCTATTTTTGGACTTCTAGCTTAGGGGCCCATGCAAAGCCCCGATTCAAGCATCACCTGAGGCGAAATGTCCGACCAAGGCTACCAAACAGCCTTGGAGTGACAACACGCACTCAGCCCGGGCTTCAAGGTTTTAGATGTTGACCTTTCCGCTCGTTGGAGTTCAGCCCATCGGAGATCGAGAAAAGCGGCGATTTTGGGCATTGCCAATGCTGCGACGTTGGCCATCTAGGACAAGGTTAAAGGCATGTTCAAGTGTGCTCGGCAAGTGCTATGCCATGCGCTGGACCCTGTCCTTCACCGCAACAGTGGCAACCACTGGCATTGCAGCTCCAAGGCATGGCAGCACCGCCAAACCAGGGGTCTGCAACACTGTGGAAATCCATGCGCATTTTTTGGACCATGTCAAGGCAATTGGAGGGGCAGCTCACAGGGGTGAGGACTCAATGTCTTTTTGAAAATTCGAACTTACGGGTTTTGAGGCCCAATCTTTCCGATTCTGGCCTCTACTGCAATTTAGATGCTGTTTTCAAGACAAGAATTCCCTCTCAAATAGACGACAATTAATATGGGACAGAGGAAGTACTTCGAACAATGGGGTTCACTTGTGAGCAAAACTTCTTTAAAGCTCTTTTTCATACTGTGACGATGCTACATATGTGTAAATTGTGTTTTTTGCGTTTGTTAAAACACCTGACGAAACAAGGCCCTTCACTTTGCAAGAAGATGATGAGATATGACAATGATGAATGTGTCGTTGGTATTCCTCCTACACAATATTGCATGTTTTCTTTCTTCCCACTTGGTAAGAGTCGTAAAGCGAAGGAAAGTTGTTGTGATTGTCAGACCTCCTATTGACACTGTGAAACACCAGCTTGGGCATTGTGGGTGCAAACTCAACCCAGTGCTAAGTATGAACATTAGACTTGAAGCAGCCACGCAACATGGATCCAGCGAAATTGCCAAGGTGCTGATCGAGAAGAATATACCACATGACTAACAGCGACACAACTGTGCTTTGGAATCACAACCCTCGAATCCATGGTGCTGAACTCCCCAATACATTTAGACAATGCACGTAGTAGGCGACATGTTGAGCATTGACAGCAAACGGCATCGATGCATGTGGAAGGGGCATACCCTATACATGCATATGGCATCCTTCACATCAGGTGTAAGATCTGAGACATCTGTTGTGGGTGGGGTCAACACAAAGCTCTCATTGAAGTCCAGCTGCAAGAGAAGAGAAGCCATGTGTCAGTCAACATATCTTGATGTATCCAACCCAAGCAACACAACAATTAGGACAATGGTATTGGCAAGTGTCCCAGCCAAACTCAGTTCATTGGACTTCACAATGCTTAGCAGAAGCACACCCCAGCAGTCATTCAACCACCAGTTCGAAGAGAGTAACCAAAGTATCCTCGCCACAGCATGGCTTCTCATTGTGGTTGATGGACTAGCCAGTCCACATTGCCGCAAAGGCCATGGCATGGAGCGTCAATTGCCGCAGACCAGTTGATACAGGAGATTTGGGAAATGGCTCTGCCTCTGGGATGACTATAGATTGCGCTTGATCAAGTTTGGCGCTTCAGTATGGTGGGTCTGATGTTTGTCTTGTACAAAGCCCCATTTATCAAAAGTCCTTGCAATGCATCCACCACTAAGATGTCCAGCACATGTTGCTGAAGACTTCACTGTAACTGAAGTTGAGAGGGTCAAGATGTAGTCTCTGCAATAGCGTGACCCACAAGTGTGGGCCACTAGGAGCGACTCGTCACGTCCATCGCTTGCTAGCCTTGCTATTTTCTTGCTATATTGCTTGCTATTTCCAGGGCCCACACCACCGGCATGGAACCAGGTTCACCAACACCCTTCACGTTGGATAGGCTCTGAACAAAGCCTTCTTCGACTTCTGAGCCGCCAAACAAGCCACAACAAGAGTCCCAGTAATAGTACCCAAACACACACATGTTTAACCCCGTACCAAGTAATATTCAATCTGGTACCAAAATGCCGTCGTGCCACATAGAATTGAAACTAGCATCAAATAATATTGAATCTGGTACCAAACTCCCAACGTACCACAAATTTTGAAAGTAGTACCAACGCATATTGAATCTGGTATCAACTTCGCGCAGGTACCAGAAGTGTTGAACGGTTGCCAAAAAATGTTGAATCCAGTGCCAATAAGTCATCGATTGGCAGCTTGCTACCAGTGCTGGGCTTGGTTGGTTGGTTAGGGTTTAGGGTTTATAAGCCCTGTATGGCGGCGGCGATTTGATGACTAGTTGGTACTGGGATCAATATTTTTTGTTACACCGTTCAACTTTCTGGTACCAGCGCAAATTTGGTACCACATTCAATACGCATTGGTACTAGTTTCAATTTTATTTGGTAGTTTGGTACCAGATTCAATATTATCTGGTGCTAGTTTCAATAGTAGCTGGTACGGCGGCAGTTTGGTACCAGATTCAACCTTAGTTGGTACGGAGTTGAATAGGTTCCGTACGAATAATGACGATTACTAGAACAGCCCGTAAAACACCCGGGAACGTGGCGCAACGCGAATTATGATGCACTCTGTACGCCCCTCCTCCGGGCTCAAACCTGGCAACATTCGCTCCACATTGCCGTCGTGGCGTCGCGTCGCGTCCCTGCCGAACCCAACCCCATCGCCGTCCCATCGCCACCTCTCCGTCCATGCGCTTCGACTGCGCGACGCGCGGCTCGCCGCCCGCGACGCCGCGGGGTCGGAGCCGTCCCTGACTCCGCACGCCGCACGCTGGCTGCCTTGGCCCAAGAAATCAAACCGCCTCGGCGATATCCAGCATGGCCAGTCCTGGGCCGCGCCCCGGCGTCTCTTCCGATCCGCGCAGAAAACCGCCAACGCTTCGCCCTCCGCGCACCGCCGACAGGGCGTACGGCGGATGCCTTCCAGGCCCACCTATAACGAGCCCCGCATCTTGAGGCGGGCTCAGGGGCCGGAACCAGATGCAGCCATGGGCTCCAACGCAGACAACGCCGAAAACGCCAGACTCGCGCCGTATCAGCGGCCTCGAGGACACACCGCCGTGGCGCGACGCGATGCCGCGCCGCACGGCCGCCCGGACGTCGTCGCAATTTATTGTGTTCCGCATCGGAATCGGGGGGGCGCGATATCCATAACCGGTCCGCCTTTGACCAGAGGCGCGGCCTCCAAACAGCGCCGAAAAACGCGCCGGACATCGCCCAACACCCCCCGCCCCTCGGAAGCCAATCCAAGGCGCCCAGTAATGCAAACAAATAAGTCCTTTCCGTGGGTCCCCTGTCATGGGCCCCATCCACACCTTCTGGCCCGAGCATGTCCCGCACAGCGGCGCGTCCCCGATCTCCGTGTGGCACGAGTCGCTGGCGCTGAACGCCCCGCCGCAGGCGTGGTGCGTGCACTCGCACCGCGGCACCGTGGACGACCGCCTCTGGAAGGCCACGGTGGCCTCCGCGGCCACGGAGTCCACCACGGACTGCACGCTGTCGATCAGGTCATCCAGCTCGTCAGCCCGGGGCCCGCCCGGCAGCAGCAGCAGAAAGACGAGGAGCAGGGATGCCGCATGTGGGGAGCGTCGTTGCCCGGTGGAGGGGGGCGCCATCCAGCCGAGGGGCCGGGGTGGGTGTGAACAGGACGGGCGGGGGTGGCCTGGGGGGGATTGAGCGGGTGGGTGTGGGGCCCAGCGCCACGGAGAAGCGCCCTGGCTATCGGCTGGTTACTCGGTGTGGAGCAGAGGAAGAGCGCGTAGCATGTGGCGTGACGCGTGTTTCCTCGCAGACGCGCTTTAGGCGTGCGGGGTGGCAGGGGCGTGGCGGCTTCCTGATCTCTCTTTTTCTCGTTATGTAAATCGTGGGTGGGGGTTGAGATACTTTTCGTGGCGCCAGTTTCAAAATGGCCGGGGCGCCCGCGTCGTCGGGAGTGCTTGTTGCATCAGGATGTTGTGTTACCCTGGGTGGGGGGCTTGCCCAAGGTGGAGAGTGCTCTTGTAAAGCAGGAGGGTGTGTTGACGGTGTGGCAACACGGCAAATAACTCTATCGCCAGCTTGGTGCTTGTGTCACCCATTGCTATGCGTTTACCCTACATGCAAAAGGTTCTTGCAACATGCACTGACATGATTTGATAGTGGCTTGGTGTGAAGAAGTGTGTCATACATGGGCTTTGGCCCACATTACGTTCAATGTTGCACCACTTCCAATGGGAATGCTAGCATCATAATAAATGTTATGGCAATGTTAAACATTGTGTCCACATGAACATTCACATACCGCCCACTTGCAAGGTCAAACCACCCATTAAAGGTTGTTCGCAATACCACGTGATTACCATCTTTCCAATTGTTGGATCGCTCATGTCCCTTGTGAGGAACTACCTACACCACACAGGCTTTTCAATGTTGTGCACCACTACGACCCACCCCCGAGGGGTGGCGCTAGTCGGGCATACTAAAGACCGCTGAAGGCAAGGAGCGAGGCAACTAGAATAAGTTCGTTACAATCAAATGGAACACTTGCTAAATACAACCAAATTAATGTTTAACATTTGGTGGGCCCATTTTAATATCATGTCATGCAATAAATACACTCTACATGCCCTGACTTCTAAAACACTTCCAAAGCATGTAGTAAATGCTAGTATCCCAGACAATGTCTCCATATCCTTGGGAATAAAAAGAGAAATGATACCTATCTCAATTCCTCCCAAAGATTTGTTCTCGACAACAATATGTTGTGATCTAGAAAGTACAACAAAAAAAACTTATAGTCAAGTAAATCACAATACTCAAAATTGCTTAAAATGCTGAATCAGCATCTTGATCTGATCAAGAATGGGATTATATCGTTGTTTCCAGATCACCACTCCGAAGTAAGCATTTGGCCTTGCTGCCAGAAAAATAATACACTTTGTTCATAACCACATCATCTATTCACTGATCGAGCAAATTTCTTTGAATTCTATATTGAATCTTGTATTAAATTAATTCATTTGGTTGTTTTCATATTGTTAGTTCTCCTTGGGTTCTATTTAAAGCCCCATTTATTGGTAATACTTCTTCTGTCCGGAAGTAAATGAAACAATTTGTTTAAGAGGTTATATCTGTATCACAAATTTGTTAGTTTTCTTTCAAAATTGGTCCAAAGCACTACCTACACATTTGCTATGTACTATCAATTTTTTGTGGACAATGGATAAGCACCGGCCACACAGCAATACTTTGAATCCACGTGATTCAGGCCAAAAAGTCGAGGTTTCTCAAGGTGTGGCTGAACTAACCCCAAAACAGGTCCTTGACCGGGTCGCTTTGTGGTTGACGGTGCACAACCTAAATTGGATATATGTTGATATCATCTTGGTGGCAGGTCGACACCATTCTAACCAAAGGGGGAAGACCACAAAACCATGTTTTATACCCCTTGATTCTTGATCGCCACTATGGTTTTGATAGTCCTATGAGGACAATAACTTCGGATCGGAGATCCAGAAGTGTGCGCACCCAGCAATCACGGTATTTGCAGAAAGGGCCCCCACCATGGGTGAGGACGCCATGGGTGCTAAGACCACCATGGAAAGTTTGGGAGAATGCGACCGTGCCCTCGCTGCATGGCAGCCAAAAGATTGTTAAAATTGGTTATGGTGGGCACGTGCCACAAGAAACACTTTACGCGCCATTCATATTGCTTTCAAAGATACCACTGCGACTCAACTTTGCCCATGCATAGGTGGGCCCGGCCATATGGGATAGGAACGGGAACGGGGATGGTGTCCGTTCCCGTCCCAGGAACGGACCCATTCCCGTTCCCGTCCCAGTTTGTCCCAGTCCATTCCTGGGCCGTTCCCCAGGAACGGATTTGGACCAGATTTGGGCCGGGCCGGAACAGTGTTGGAACAGATCCGTTCCTGCCCAGGGACGGATCTGTCCCGGCTCAGGAACGGATCCGTTCCTGACATGGAACGGCCCCGTCCTTGTCCGTTCAGGTCCGTTCCTGTCCGTTCCCCAGGAACGGGCTATGCAAATTGGAGGTCTTACGAGTTGGGGGGGGCCACTGGCGGGCTAGTGCAAGTTTGGGAGGCATTCATAAGGCCGGATTTAGGGCCAGGAGATACATTTTCATAAAGACACCTGGCTTGCAGCAAAGGCAACATGCACATTGCCCAATGTATAAGTTGAACATATAACCAAAATTAAAACAAGTGCCACACACGCCCATAGGCCAATTCAAGACAAGCCAATGGAGCCCGGAAACTTACAACTTGTAATTTACAAGTCGGTGTTGCCGGGCAAGAACGTCAACTGCTCAATGCAATTGTCCCCCAGAGATACCTGCCGAGATTGCACAATATGGCCAGATACCAAGAAGCCCTGTTCTGATGCACCACTTCTGACCGGCACACACAATGAGTGCCGTGCCGCCCACACCACTATGGGCCATCAAGTACTATTCCATGCCCAATAATCTAGTGCATCCTCTTCTCGTGGGGCACCCGGCTCACACAAACTCCAACATTCCATTAGAAACTCCTGAACGTGTCGCTGTAGCAACTGCTGTATGGCATCTGTTAGTTCACCGACCACTGCAGTGCCCGCAGGTTGGCTAGGCCCCACGGCACCGCTTGCCCTTGGGTCGCGGCCCCAAAATGCATCATAATCCTCCTCGGAGCTGGTGTCAGACGTCTTGTGTCCCATACGCTTCTCCCTCGGCTTCTCCCTCAGGTTGTGCACAGTCCGTTGTCCAAGATGAGGTGGCAGGCCTGCTTGCCCCGATGCCTCTGACCACATAATGTCCTTTGCGAATTTAAGACACAACTTTAGCAGCTCAGCCGACATGTCCTCCATCACGGCATCCACCAACACGAACTTCTCCCTGATGGGTTTCAGTACCTTTATGTATGACCCCAAGGTAGCCTTCCATGCGTACACTGCACACATTAGAAATGATCGCTCACCGGTGGGGTCCATCATAGCCAAAAATGCCATTTGCCAGACCCAATGGGATGTGGAGTCGCCAAGTGCCTCTTCTAGCTTGTAGAGCATATCGGTGCGGAATGGCACCAACCCACTGTATGGACCCTTATTATCCACGTCGCTGATTTTGTAAAGGAAACGCCAGAGGTGCATCAGCTTGGTCAGAGCCTTGGAGCCCGTGGGGTATGCCTCCGCCTCAAGCCTTTTACAGTGCCTTTTCAGAGATGCCAAGATTGGGAGGAGGGCCTCCAGGTAGCCCCATTGTATAATCTGAGATTATACAATGATCATCGAGACTCGATGGGATTATCGTATTTAGGGTGCAACCCAAACCATCTGTCGGTGGCCTTCCTCAGGCGCACAACCCTTTGCAACATAAAAAATGTACTATTCCATCGAGTTTCCACAGACCTGACCAGCTGGAGTCCCCTCTATAGGTTGGGCCTCCTGCCACCTTCACCCGACTCATCGGAGGGCATCTCTGATGCAGACACCCCCTCCTCATCACTAGAAACTACGTTATTACCCTCCCTTATTATTTCCACTTGCAGCCTTCACAGCTCAGCTGTGGCTTTCGCGCTGGCACATATGTGGTTCACCAACGAGGAGACCCTGCCATCGTCAGGACACATGCACACTACTGATGAAACAATTCCTAAGAAGCAATAGCTACAGTAGTTGCTAGTAGCAACTTGCTACACACAAAAATAACCACCAACATATATGCACACACAGCATCACACACACCAAGGCACACCAACATCATAACTTACCAGTTTATTGCACTGCAGAGCTTTTGGCAGCCTTTGGTATGGCCGGCGTGGACGCGTAGGTTGGTCAGGCCATGGGTTATGACGTTGTGGACAGAGGTGGGCCCGGCCAAATGGCATAGGAACGGGAACGGGAACGGTGTCCGTCCCCGTCCCAGGAACGGACCCGTCCCCGTCCCCGTCCCAGTCCGTCCCAGTCCGTTCCAGTCCGTTCCTGGGCCATTCCTCAGGAACGGATTTGGGCCGGATCTGGGCCGGGCCGGAACGGAGTTGGAACGGGTCCGTTCCTGCCCAGGGACGGGTCCGTCCCGGCTCAAGAACGGGCCCATTCCTGACATGGAACGGCCCCGTCCTTGTCCGTTCAGGTCCGTTCCTGTCCGTTCCCCAGGAACGGACTATGCGAATTGGAGGTTGGGGGGGGCACTGGCGGACCAGTGCAAGTTGCGGAGGCATTCATAGGGCCGGATTCAGGGCCAAGAGGCACATTTTCACAGGGACACCTAACTTGCAGCAAAGGCAACATGCACATTACCCAATGTACAAGCTGGACATATAGCCAAAATTAAAACAAGTCACACACTGAGCCATGGGCCAATTCGAGACAAGCCAATAGAACCCGGAAAATTACAGCTTGCAATTTACAAGTCGGTGTTGCCGGACAAAAACGTCAGCTGCTCAATGCGTTCGTCCCCCAGAGATGCCCGCCGAGATCGCGCAGTATGGCCGGATACCGAGAAACCCCGTTCTGACGCACCACTTCCGGCCGGTACACACAATGAGTGCCGGGCCACCCATGCCACTATGGGCCATCGAGCACTATTCCGTGCCCAATAATCTAGTGCATCCTCCTCTCGTGGGGTACCCGGCTC